AAGAATGCAAGCTGTTATTGATGCCAAAGGTGGACCAACTTGATGGTGACTTATTATTATTTTCATTTTCATTTTTATATTTATACTTTATTTTTTCACTTTTATTTATAATCATTCTCTGTGGCTCTTTCTATCTACCCTGAATTTTTTGTCTTATTTTTCATGTTGATTTTGATGTTTTTTTATTTATTTTCTCTATTTTCTTAAGGATACAATTTTTTTTTTCAATTTTCAGTTTAGATGATCACATTGAGTAGCCTTCTAGCTTCTCAAAGATAATTTTTAACTGTTCCATTGCAAAAGGACTTTTTTTTTTAACAAATAAAAATAATGCGCCCTTAACTCTTGTCCAGGCACTGTACATGCAACTATCCAGTCGCAATACCTCTGAAATTTGCTTTTTGGCATTGTAACATGAATGGAACACCACAATGCGCAAAACTCAACCAATGAAAGCTTGACATTTCTCAAACCAAATGCAATCACACATTTTGAACTTTGACTTTCATAAGGGACTTAGGCATTTACCAGTAACTCATTCTGGAAATTCCTTGACTCTCTCAGCAAGCAAAACAATCACCCGCTTAGCAAACAGTACTCCTTGACATGAAATCATTCATTGAAGCTTCTTTTCAATTCACACCAGCAATAATCCCTCTTCAGCTAGGGTCAGACCTCAATGACTTTTGAGTGGATCATCCATCATCTTGCTGGCTGGTTCAAAGCACAATTCTCTTGCTTTGAACTTGAAAATCTCTTGTGCTTTGAGATTTTAGTTGTTCTCTATTTTTGAGCTTGTATCTCTTTCCTTGAATATATAAGCTATTGTATTTTCTACATTCTCTCCCTCCGTTTCCTCAGTTAATTAATATTGTGATTTTTGCACCTTATCCTTTGCCAATAGCCATTGCCCTATTGATTTATCTTCCCTCAAACTTGAGTCTATTATCTTTGAGATATTTCAAAGATACATTCACATCCATCTTTGAACCTTTCCCTATGCGCTTTGACCAACCAAATACCCCCTTGAGTACATTAGGATGGTCGCATGACAGAAGTGCCCATGAACAACCTGTATTTAGTAAATCTCAAGCAATCTATCACTTTTTATCAGATACACAGAAACACAAAGAGTTTCTTTACCCAAGTAGAATATTTACTTGTAATTTCTTTGTATAAGTTCAAAGAATCTGAATTGGTGATGTATTGACTAAATGAAACCAACACGCTGAATCAGAATACAATCAGAGAAGAAGACAGGAGGAGGAAATATAATATAATTTGAAAAGAGAACCAACAGTCTATTGATGAGAAGCATATAGGAAGAGGCTAAATAAGAGAAGGACAAAAGAGGACTGTGAAGAATGGTTAGTGTGATAGGTCTAGGTGATTGTCTGCAAGGAAAGGGCTCTGATCAAAGAGTGTCCTACCACCCAGAAAACAAATCTTTTAAGGGAGAGCCCAAAGACCAGTAACTCCACTTACCCAAGTTGGTTGCAGCCTCCTTGGGGAAGAAGGAAACAAGGGAAACAAGCAGAGTTGAAGAGGCCACCCTCAGAAAATATTGCCATGCAACAAGTGCATCAATGTCACAACCTCATCAGAGACACATAAAGAAAGGACTCTTCCTTCTGGCGGCCCATAAACTTCCTTTGCTCATGACGACCATGTGTACTGCATTGATTAACACCCTATAACTTGATCCTCCAACGGCCACTTTAGAATTTACAATGCCGACTATCGGCCCGCGATGAAGTCCTGCAAGAAACAAGCCGCTCACTCCCATGCCGGAAGACCACCGAATCATTATCTATCAAGGGCGCTGCGGCACAAGTGCATTTAGCTCAACCGGTAGAGCATCCGCGCCATGCGGGAAGGATGTGGGTTCGAGCCCCTCAGTGTACAGTGGCGGGGAGTCGGTGATGACGTCGCTACAGGTATGTGAGCCAGGCGGCTGCCGGAGACCGCCAGTGGTCCGGCGGTCCCTGGCTGCTCCCTGGCTCATAACCTGTGGGGACTTTGCTTGCGAGCCCCCTACACCCTCCTTTTGAACCAGAGGCTTTCTTTTATGGGGACGTGGGCTGTGCGGGCAGGTGCGGTACTGGCACCGATCGAGGAAATGGTCCAGTCAAATTGGAGCCGCCAAAAAAGAGAAAGACTGCAATCTTTCTTATTTACCTGACGCGTTATGTGTTGAGTACTAGCCAGTCTACAATTTTGTGTTTTACTTGCCTTTCCACCGATGGACAGGAACTACAGGTGGTGGAAAGCATGGATAGAAGGAACAGGGCCCAACTTGAGCCATGGGAGGGGAAAAGGAGAGAAGACAGGGCAGTAGTTTGCCCCAACCCCCCTCCGAAGAAAATGACTATATCGAAGATGATTATTTATTAATAGAATGACGACAAGAAACCCGAGGAATAAGAAAGGCAAGCAGACAGAAAATAAATAAAACTTCATGTCGATGAAGAATTGGCGCCGGATGGACTCTGTTCTGCTTTCTTTTTGCTGGGATCTACTTTAACATATCCATTGGCCAATTCCGCAAGTGTGTCCTCGCCGTTTTTGTTTTTGGCCGTTTCGAATACCGAGCCTAATATACCTGTCCAATCAAGAATCATCGTAAGCACAGTTATTGTCGGCTACTAGAAGATGAGATGTGAAATCGAGTGCGGTCGGACTGACCTAATGCGACCGCCCTTTTCCGGATGACCTCTCTCGGAACACCAGGCTCTTCGAGCAGTCGATCACAAACTTCTCTAATGACGCTCTCCACCTCTAATTTAGCACCCATAAAAAGTGCTCGTAATCCTTTCTTGGCGGCCAATTCTTCAAGTTCTTTTTTCCTTTCTTCGGTCAAGCCGGGACCGCCTTCAGCTTCCGCTTTGGCAAGTTCGTCGAATACTGCTTTCACGTCGTAAGCCGCTCGGACAGCCCCAACTGTTTCAGAAAGTACGTGAGCTGTCGATTTAGCGCTATGGAACCATCCTCCAACCAACGCCACTCCGCCGCCCCATGCCCCCGTTGCGGTGGCCGTTAAGCACCTCTTGGATTTCGCTAGATATGTCGCTCCGACCGTCCTCAGCAATTCAGGCCCGAAACTTTCTTCTGACAAGGTGTCTTTTTCAATTTCCCATATCATTTTCACGCTATTCATCACTCGTTGGTCAAATTCCTCTTGGGCGTCTTCGGTATAAAGGCACAGTTTATGCTTTAGCTTTTCCACCAATTTCGACACTCTCACCTCGCGAACTCGTTTCCGTTCTTCTGCTTCAGCTTGTGCTGCGGCATCACGTTTCGCCTTTTGCTCGGGTGTTAAGGTTGGCTTTGTTGACACTTTGGATGACGAAGAAGTAGCAGCTGGTCGACCAGATGTTGACACCAGCTGATTACTCTCTTCATTATCTTGTTCTTCTTCTTCATTCGATTCTTTCTGCATTGCCGCCTTCATTTCTTGTCCCAGGGAAATCGTGCCAATGATGTCTTGAAATTTTTCGCCCCCGAACAACCTGCGGAAATCATTTAAATATTGTTGATCATCTGCAACTTAAGTTTGCCGTGGCAAAATGGTCGAATGACCGAGGTTTTTATTTTTTATTTTTATGATTTATGGGTCTTAGTGTATTAGAAGTTAAGTGAGGTTTTAACACTGACGTTGAAAAGACCGCTTCAGGATCTACAAACCCCCCTTCATTTTCCTGCTGTTTCCCGAATTCGTTGTATTTTTTGCGAAGTTCAGGATCAGACAGAGTGTTGTAAGCTACAGCGAGCTAAGATTATCACACATGATAAATTGTGGTGATCAGAAGGAAAGTAAAATGAATTGGATTAGCCATGAAAGGTGGATAAAAAGCGCGGCTAGTTGAATGAGAGGGTGTGTAATGAATACGCAACAGCTTTGAACTTGTCTCCGGCATCTGGATCGTCCGGATTTTTGTCTGGGTGCATCTTGAGGGCCATTCTCCGATAGGCAGCCTTAATCTCGAGGGGTGTGGCCTTGGGGGTTAGACCGAGCACATCGTAATACTCAGTCTCTAAAGGTCTTTCATCAGTCCCGATTCTTCTCGCGGATTTTTTGGCGGATGGTTTGGTTGAACTGGATGTGGCACCGGCAGATGAATTGGGGAAAAAAGTCTGAGAGCATGAATGGCATTGAATAAGGTATGAATCTTTGGGCGATTGGGACGACGGGGGCGGCAGATACTCCAGATGGGTTTTGCAATGAGGACAGGTGATGGCGACTGTTATGCGTTGGTTTGTGATGAGTCAATCATGAAGTTAGCAGGTGGTTTGCTTGTCTGGAGTCAGACATGGTTATGGTCAGAACTCACTCACCGTAGGCTTCCCGAGGTCGGGATTGGATGATAGTTGGACTCATCGGGCTGCTGGGGAATATGAGGAAGCGGCTGCAGTCGGTTTTCCCTTTGTGGGTGGTATTCTCAGGTAGAATGTCACATCCCTTACACAGGCTGTGACATCCCAGTCAGCTCTCCTGACTCCTCACATCACTTACTATTGATTTCCCCTTTTATCCGCAAAATGGCCAAATACTTATCAAGTCTTGAGATGAGATATATACAATATTCGCCATCCAAAGAGGAATAACTTCCTTGCATGTCCCAGATGGATATCTGGAGATCGCAAACCACCACCATCATATTAACATGACTGGGCCAGCTAAGCCAACGCTAACGTTAGCGTAGCGTAGCCTAGTGTGTTTTTGCTAACAGTTCACAGGATAACCTGTTATCTGTGCGCGCTAACGCTACTCACGCTGCGCTACAGTGACTTTTAGCGGGAAAACACCGCCAAACTCGCTGTAACGTAGCCAGCCCATAGCGCCTTCAAAAACCCGCTCACCCTGCACCACTGGTGGTCCCAAACAAGTGCCACTACGCGAACACTTTTCGGTCAGAAAAGAACAGCCCAGTGTTGATCATGTGAAACAAATGTGAATTATTATATATCATGCTTCCTTTTCAAAAAGATACAAAATCATCTTGTTTATGAAATTTATAATGAATGAATTTTACAAGAGATGCCTTGAATTATGTGAAAATTCATGGGGCAGTTCATGAACTATTTGCTTCAACTTGATGGTTTTCATGTCCTTGCTGACACTTTTACAAGGCACTTAGGTCAGAAAAAACAATAAAAGAGTTGGAATTTAGGGTCAATGTGAATGATCTCACCCTTCCTTAAACTTCCTTTAACTATCCTGAAACATCTTACCATTGGAATGTTTGAGGAAAAACTAGCAGTTCAGGATACGATTCCCTAACATCCCTTCAAAATAAATAAAAAAAGATCTTTGAAAATGAAAAATCCTGTATTTATTTTTTTGGAATAAGTTTCAAAAACTCAATCACTAATTCATTATCTCAGCTCTTTTAAACTCTTATTTTTATTTGATCAAATGGTGAAAATTCAGATAAAAGCTGAAATGAATTTTCAATTGGCAAAATTTGACATGCAATAGATTTATGAGAAGAATATTGATTTACCAGGTGGCCCAATGGCCCAACAAACTGGATCTGCCCAGATGAAAAAAAAACTTGCTCAACTGCCTGCAGTGGACATGCAGAAACTCCCAGGAAGCTTCTGTTGTTACTCCAACCTTTCTCCAAGATTAGTTCAACCAAGATTTGATAATCACTGTGCATACTGCACAGTGACTGTGCCAAAACATCTACATATGAAAACAGATGGAGTTTGCCAAAGAGGGTGTGTAACTTCTGATCCAAGGGGTTTGAGAGATTTATGTCCAAGATGAACCAAGGTTCAACTGGGCTGTAGAGTCTTTCCCTTTGACCTGATTTTCTGATTTATGACCTGTAGTATGATAAATAGAGAAAATGATGGAAATAAATAATGAAAGAATTTTTTTTTTACTTTTTAATCAATTTCAGAATAACACAGTGCTGGGACTATACTGACCAGGTCAGTCCTGTCATCTGATTGAATCTATAACAAGATTGAAGATGGGGATCATTATGTGAATGAGCTTTCCAGTTCTGGGACTGTATCAACCAGCTTCCCTTTGATTTGAGATTTTATACCAGCAATGTCACTATGAGGGTATTGTTCCATTCCAGGAGGGACTTTTTACAGGATTTGGGCTCGCTTCAAGCGGATTAAAATTGATTTCATTGGAGAATCATTTTGCTTTTCTCCTGGTGATATGGGCTTCTGTCCAATTCCAAACCAAGCCTAAAACAAGCCTCTCATTGTGAGACAGAGCCCACAAGGGACCCTATCTCACAGAGATGCTTTCAAAACAAGCTGACATCTTGGCATGGATACAGAGAAATAACGATGGGATTTTGGTTTTTTTCTTTTCTTTTCTTTCTATTTAAGACCCTTTTGTAAAAATAACCATGTGTTGTGAAACATTAACTTTAAGGTTCCCACAAGCTGTGCCATCTGGTTTTTCAAGCACTGCAAAAAAAACTTGCTCAACTGCCTGCAGTTGACATGCAGCATGCTCC